GGGTTCTGTTTTATAACTGTAAAACTGTGTATAGGACCAGTATGCTTGTACGATAACTATTTTCATCTCTATTTCATTATTTTCGAGAATCTCAATGAACTTTTTTTTTTCTCTTGCCGTGCTATTGAACGAGCAACAGGAATATGGGATGAAAAACTCACTCATCGGATGCAGTGGACCTTTATCAAGCGAAGAGAAAACTGCGATTATTTGAAACTTCAAATCTCGAGTACCTTGTTTGTATAAACAGGTACACAACTTTTTGCAGCTCAGAAAGCAACGGAAATCATCGATTTCTCATGTTATGGTATGTTCTGCTGACAATATTTTCGTCTTCATTATTTCTATGCACTTAATCGAACAAGAAGAAAAAAAGGAATGAGCAAAAAGAAAACACTCAATGATGCTTGTTTAGGACTGCTGGCATACTATTTCATGATTTGATTATATAGGATTATAATCTTTCTATATAAAATTCATAGGATTACAGTATTTATTTGTAATTGATGATTATATGCAGGATGACTCTTGAAATTAACTATATAATTAATATGGTTCAATTCAGCCTTTTGGGCCTGTTTAAATATGGCTCTCAAAAATCAAAATATAAATTCCTGGTCCCAATACTCCCAACTCTATTCCATGAGCAAAATGATTCACAGCCTGAAAATAAAGATTTTTCCTTGGTCTAATGAATCGGACATATCTTCTCCCCCACAATCATTAACCAAATTTATTAGAAATTATTAATTACTATTTTGCAAGTAATCATATTAAGCTAACATGGCAAGTTTAAGAGAATTGACATTTTCTATTGATGTAAGCTCTGTCAGATCACAAATCACAATCACATATATTTTTTCGAATGTATGTTGATTCAATAGCTAATCGATGCCTGAGAAAATTAGTGGTACCGCAAAAATTAGGTACTTTTTTCAAAATAGCAAAGTTATTAAGGCATAAGCAGAGGTCTGAGAGGTGACTAGGTCTTCAGTTGAAGTTCAGTGGTTTATCTGTCAATCTCTGTATTTTTCTGGCTATTGGATTTCTGTCTCATGTCATTCAGATGCTGTGGATTATAGTGTGGTTTGGCCTCTGAAGTTTATGCTAATCTATGGCTGCTGTTAGAGGTGTTGGTGTTAGGATCAACAATTCAAAACTCAGTTCTCCATCAAGCCCAACATACAAGCCCAAATGGGGTTCCATTCTAAAACCAATTGGCAATAGAAGGAGTAGCCCACCAAACTTATATATTGGACTTGGAACTTTTAATTTTTCGATGTGGGATTGGGTTTGTACACCCTACAGTTGGATGGTTGCTGTTTTCATATCCTGTTTAGGGGTTAGATTAATGGTTGTATTGGTAGTATTTGGGAAGTATTTAGAGCAGCTTTGTGTGACTCTCTTGTGTATTTATTTTTTGAGGTCAGTCGATTTGTAAAACATTTATTTTGATGATTATGAGAATCTCCCTATCGTTTTGAAAAAAAGTATCATGTTTGGTTTTTAAGTATGGACAATGAGACTTTAGAAGACTACACAAACATGAATGTAATCACGTGACTTTATATTTATATTGTGATAAATTGAACAATTATTACGACTTTTGACTTGGTCCTAAGCTGCCCAAAGCCGACAATCGAGTAAAAGGACAAGCCGACCTCCTCAATCTATCTGCCACTCAATTCAATTAATTAAGGAAACTAAAAGAATGGGAAATTCTACAATCTCATTCCAGAATTATATTATATTGAAATTTGTAATTGTTAGATCATCATGTAATCGTTGAAGATAGTTGATCTAACAGTTACGAATCCCGACTGAATGATTTGGGAACCATTATATTGAAATTTGTAATTGTTAGATCATCATGTAACAGAAAAACTGATCTAACGATTACAAATTCCGATTGAATGATTTCGTAACGGGATCGTAGCATCTCTTTACAACAAAAATATACTAACTTTTTCTTTTTATCAAAAAGTAATTAAGTTGACTTAAAATTTGTTTAGGAAAGATTATAAGCTTAAGATTACGTTAGACGATTAATC